TGTATTTACTGTTATTGCTATCATTAATTTGTGTTTTTATTTGTGTTTTTTGATGCCATAGAAACTTCTCTGTCTTTTTCCTGTCCTCTCAAACCCCAATCAGATGAGGCAGATGGTCTTGATCCAGGTTCAGGTGGAGGTTTTGTACTTTTTAAAAAAAAGTTGTTTCTTTCCATCGTCACAGACCTGCTGCTCTGAACGAAGGATTGAGATGAAATCAGGTTTCAATCCAATCTGCTGCCTTCTACTATTTGGCATTTCATGTCCACTGTATAGAAATATATTTTGTTACATTTTAAGTAAGTTGATTTAATTTCGATTYAACTGAATTAATGATTTTGACTTTTTTTGTCTTTGTATAATCAATCAATCACCTTTATTTAACCAGATAGAGCCCGTTGAGATCGAGATCTCTTTTACAAGGGTGACCTGGTCAAGTGGTCATCAGCACACATCACATAGTAATTGACGAAGCATTTGCATTGATCAAAACGAAATAAGGAAAGAAAAATAAGAAAACTACAATCACACTAAATAGATGTTGACAGTTCAGAAACATCTGGATAAGAAAGAATTCTATAGGTATTTACAATATTTGGTAGACCAGAAAAGAAATTTAGGTGAGAAAAATAAGTCAATGAATAAAAACAGACAGATACCGTTTGAGTAGATACAGTTAAAAAAAAACGATAGTGACATGTATAATGGATAGGTAATGTTTAGAAACATCTGCAACGGTCAAGTTTCTTGATGACGTAATCTAATACAGTTGACATGAAGGATCTAGGAGGGATCAGTGTTGACAGTTTCAGATCTGTCTGTTTGTTGTTCCAGGCTGAGGGGGCTGCGAAGCTGAATGCTCTTTTTGTAATGCCTTGAGATGACTTGTGTGACTGACTATAACTAAAATATATATAAAAAAAATGAAAATCTTTTTTTTTGTCCAGGTTGGGCAAACTTGTATCTTTAGAAAAACGTGCAAAGATTTCAGTGGTGTTCAATCAAAGAACTGCCTCAGAGTCAGTGGACTTACAATTCAGAAATGAAAGTGATTTGGAGAATGTAAAATATGAAATGCTTGAGTTGTGCTTGCAGACAGATAACAGTAACTGTCCTCTTCTGAACGGTGTTGATAAGAAAGCCATACCCATACAGAGGCCTGAGTTTCTTCTCCTCGGGAGTCTTGCTGCCGTCAGATCTGAAGGACACACGCAGGATTAATCCAAGCACTTTGACAAGCATCAGCACTTTCATTTATACCCTGTCAATGCTTATTACTACATCATGAAGACATGAATGTTTTGATATTATATTTATTGAGCTCCTTGCTTAGGTTTTTTTGTTTACATTCTGAACTTTGTTGCAAACCAAACAGTAAAGAAAGTGAAACTGTTTCTCCACCTCCAGGGGTTTTTGGACGTCGACAAACAGGTGAAAGGAAATTTTGCAAGTTTTTCTTGAAGCGCATGTGATTTAAAAAAAAACACAACAGAGATTCCTGTGAATTATTCATACTTTTGCTTATTTTTAAGTGAATATGAAGCAAAGGTCACAAACGTTCAGTGCTTCGAAGTACCGTATTTATTCAAGTATAATACATAAAATTAAATCCATAAAATCATCCATAAAGTTGGGGGGTAGTACTATACTCGGATAAATATTTTTACTTATGTATTTTAACTGAAATATCGGCTTCATTCACAAAATTATTGAGTCCGGAAATGAGATCGCATCGTAAAAAGCAGTTGAAACGACCTTACCTCTGACATTCCTCCTTGCTTCAGAGCCAGATAATAACAGATCTAGGCAGGCGACATGATGTGAAAAAAAAGGGGGGGATTATTCCTGCACCTTAGTAATGATAGTGAACTAAAGAYATTGACGCGTGACCGGGCCGCTCCTCGAATAACAACRAACACRTTTGTCTGTAATGGCTGCCRTCTACCRGTGTTCTGAAAAWGTTTGTATCCCTGAAAAAAAGTYTCCCCACCAGAGGGGGCGCTCGCGAGTAGGAAGTAATCTGCTTTTCCCCCRCAATATGGTCCAAATCTCATGTGAAGTCTCTGACTTTTGTGTTGGCGCCTCCTGGTGGACTATGTATAAAATGCTAGAATTCATATGATGCTGCTACAGCTGATATATATTTGTTGTCAAAATACCTTTTAATACATATGTTGTTAAAATAAAATGAACAGTCCAATGACCATTTTACTGATACRTGTAAAGACTGCAAAGGCTGAAAAATCTTGAAGTCTGTATGAAATTGGAGGTAGTTTGAGGATTAAAATCTTTATGGTTTTTAAGCTCAAAAAGGGAGGGTCGTATTMTACATGAGATCGTATTATACATGAATAAATATGGTAAATTGGGCCACAGAAACAGAGTTTTCGTCCCATCTTTTAATAACAGTGGGAATGTTTATGATTCAGCCACAATGACGCTTTTTCCCCAGACTTCCCCATTTTGCTACCTTTAAAAACACCACAAATCACTACTAATGCTTTCCAACAGAGCAGTGAGCTGTGACGAAGTTTTTCAAGATCTATTGCACCTCTAATAGGGTCTAGCTAAAACCTCCACGCTCCCTGCTCATACTGAAAATCAAACTCTTGACTTATGTCTGATGTAGAAACAATCATTATCTGTTTCTGGCACCAAGCAAATGGATATAAATACTCACACTCTCTTTTGCACAAGGGCAGTGCATCAGGGTAATCGATGACTCAAATCAACTCTCTGAATCAATCATTGCTCTCATATATCAAAGACAGAAGCAGCGTTCGCACGCCACTTGGAGGATATTAAGTTTCACACGCGTATTTCCTCATGTGCGGGGGACCGAGGGGGGGTTTCACAAGGGCCCCGCCATCACTTCTTTAACTGAAATCGGAGAGCTGCGGTGGAAGTCCCGAGAGTGCGAAYGTGGCCCACAGTGAGGCTCAAACGCATTGTGACAGCAGCCTCAYGTTACTGGGCGTGTGGCTCTCTTTAAATCCACCGGGGGACTCATTTAGCACTTGGGAGCGCAGGCATAACAGCCGCTGAGAAGTGACAGAGTGTGGATAAAGGTGAGAGCAGAAAGGGGCCTCCGCTGATGAAAACTGTCATCAGACCCAGTTATGAAGTGATTTGTGGAGAGAAATGCACGGCTGGGATGAGACCTCAAATGCCTGGTATAATATCCGTCTTCAGCTGCAGGCTCAGGGAGGGAAGTGCCTTTGTGAGGTTGGAGAGCTGACATGTTACCTGAAAGCCGGTGTATTCTTTGAATTGCTCTCGTTTGCACAATATTTGCTGCAGAATCATCTTTAGGGCTTTTATGGTGTCTGGCAGCTGCAGAAGATGAATGCGTGTTAGTAAAATATCTCATGAGCTACACAATATATTTTAACGAAAGTTTCAATCAATCGATAGGTGTGCATCTAAATCTAAGTAACTTTTGGAGTCTATCCGAATTAGGAGCTGACTGATATCAGCTTCCAGAGAAATGACTAAAACTTAGTCAGTTTCACAGACACTGAGTTAAACTTTGKTGTGGGATCTGGGAGTGATTCCCAACTTAAAGCATCCTTTACAAGGCTTGACCATCACAGGTAACTCTGTCCATTTTCTTCTCATGCTGGTTTTTGTTTGATTCTCCCTCATTACTTCAATAAATTCTAATCCTTAATTATTATAGTGTGAACGATTATAAAACATTTACACTAATGAAATATTTTTGTCGTTTTTTTTTTTTTTTGGCATGTATCTTGCTATGCATTTTTTTAAAGCTATTTCAACATTTGATATACTGTATCAAACTGTTCAGCTCCTTCAGGGCATTTCGGATATGACATTTTGGTACTTCAGAATCTCTTCTGCTCTTCTCCATATTTAGACTTTTTTTAATTTTACGCTTCATTCAATTGATTTCTGCTAATTTCAGGTGTTTTCTGTGTTTTAGCTACTTTTTAGGTCATTCAACTAAAAACGATCCTGTAGCATTAAGCAATCACACTGTGTTTTTTACAGGAAATGCCAGTTCTCTCGATCAGTGGTTCCCAAACTTTTTATCTTCTGACCCACAAAATATCCATGGTAAAAACTTGTGACCCCAAATATTACTGGTCTGAGAACACAAACTTTGTTAATAACCCTAAAAACACAGGCTTTTTGACAATCTAAACAGCGTGTACACAAATATAAATACTTATTTATACTTATTTTGTGTTTTTGTAATAGTTATAGGGAAAATATTACATCAGCAATTATGTTATTACCCTTTAAATTGATTTCTGGAGATTATCCAAGGTGCTTCATGACCCATAATTGGGTCCCAAGCCCAACTTTGGGAACCAAAGTGCAGTGGTTCCCAAACTTTTCAGCTTATGACCCACAGAATAGTACAAAACAGTAGCAGAGACCTGAGCCACCAGCTATTTTTGGATGACAAACATTTGTATCAAGTCAACTGGGCATAGTAAATATTTTTATACTACATTTATCCATTTTAAATACACTAACCTCACTCCTTTGTAACAACTAAGGCAAAAMTGTAATTAATTCAGAAAATCTTTTCAGGACCCCACCTTGATGTTTCGGGACCCCACTTTGGGTCCCGACCCCAACTTTGGGAAACACTGCTCTAGATGTTCGAGTACTTAAAAAAATATAAATTAGAAGTTTTAACTTCTTGAATTAAATAATCAAATCCAAAATAAAATGACAAATTTGATTGGCTGAATAAGAGGGAGATCCCTTGAAAAACAAAGCCTGTTGAAATTATMTAGCAGTCGGTTTGATTGTGACAAATTCWCATAAAAACKTCAAATCGGTCCGTTATGTTTCAGCAGACAAAGTTTCACAAAGTGCCACCCCTCCCCTGCCGTCGGCAAAGATCTTTCAGTTTTATAGTGAAGCTGTTTTTGGAGTGCACCTCCCCGCCCCTCCTCTCCCTCCTCCCAGAGGGGGCGGGGTCGCCCCTTTTCAAGAAGCTACTTAACGGAKAAAGTCGCGCGCACGCAGTCACAACTCATGAACCTGTCCCAGGCGCGGGCGCATGTTCACTGGTCCCCAAACGTCCATGCTCGGAGAGTGATTGGATTTGATTTGAGTGGTAAACATGGAGGTGAGTGCTGTTGTTTCTGTGATGGGACAGCTGTGGCTGATGCTGTTTACTGTAAACAACTTGGAGAAGTTTCTTCTGCACCTGCTCGTTTTGCAAACCAGTTTTCATTCTCATTCTGAGAAATGTAAAAGTTGAGCAGCTTGGTTTAACTTTTAAAACTTTAGTTATTAACCAATGTGCAGTGTTTAAAAACCTCATTCAGCTTTGCTGTTTTTCCTCATGTTAATTCTCTCTTTTTTTTGCTTCCAGTACGACTTCCCATACGACACAGTCATTTTCCTTGAAAACAGCACTGACAACTTCTCAGAGGAATCCGGAGACTTCGACCTGAATGATTTTCAGGAGGCATGTGGTGGAGACACCAACAGCGACTTCAACAAAATCTTCCACCCCACGGTTTATGGATTAATCTTCATTCTGGGAATAGTTGGCAATGGATTGGTTGTTCTGGTCATGGGCTTCCAGAAGAAGGTCAAAACGATGACGGACAAATACAGGCTCCATCTCTCGGTAGCTGACCTCCTGTTTGTCCTCACGCTGCCCTTCTGGGCTGTGGACGCGGCTAAATCCTGGTACTTCGGACACTTCCTCTGCGTGTCCGTGCACATGATCTACACGATCAACCTGTACAGCAGCGTCTTGATCCTGGCCTTCATCAGCTTGGACAGATACTTGGCGATTGTTCACGCCACCGACAGCCAAGCCACGAGGAAGCTGCTGGCGAACAGGGTGGTGTATGTGGGCGTGTGGCTGCCTGCTGCCATCCTGACTGTCCCRGACTTTCTGTTCGCTCAGGTGCAGAACGTGAGCTCCTCGAAATTCCCCATCACCGATGGCGGCGCGGGGACCGCCGACTTCAGGCCCATCTGCCAGCGTATCTACCCAGAGGAGAAAAGCCTCGTGTGGACCGTTGTTTTCCGTTTCCAGCACATCCTGGTGGGCTTCATCCTGCCCGGCCTGGTCATCCTCATCTGCTACTGCATCATCATCTCCAAGCTGTCCCGAGGCGCCAAGGGCCAGGCGCTGAAGAGGAGAGCGCTGAAGACCACGGTCATCCTCATYGTCTGTTTCTTCAGCTGCTGGCTGCCCTACTGCGTCGGCATCTTCTTGGACACCCTCATGATGCTGAACGTGGTCCCYGTCACCTGTGGGCTGCAACAGGCCGTGGACAAATGGATTTCGGTCACGGAGGCGCTGGCTTACTTTCACTGCTGCTTGAACCCCATCCTGTACGCGTTCCTGGGGGTGAAGTTTAAGAAAACGGCCAGGAGTACTCTGACCCTCAACAGCAGCAAATCGAGCCAGAAAGTGACTCTCATGACCAAAATGCGGGGTCAGATTTCATCGGTGTCCACAGAGTCCGAGTCTTCAAGTGTTCTGTCAAGTTAACTCCGTTGATTTCAGAGACTTTGTCTTCTCAGGAGAGGAAAAAAAAAGCTAACTTTTATTTTCCAAGTATCTTACTACATTTTGTACATATGTAAAAACAAAGAGTTTGTTTTATACTTATTTGTATTTGAATGCTTGAAAACGTTTTTTTTTACAATTGTTTTTCTACAATTTTCTGTTTTCCTCAGGCTGTGCCTCATTTTCATCCATTCAAATTCACAGTTAAGGTCCACTAGTTGTCAGTTTTTACACTCTGTGACGTCACACCGTTGTTTGCTGTTTTCATGGGTGCTGTTTGGAAACCCTGTGCATAGTTTGTAGCATTTGTATGTTTGCTCTAAAGTTGTGTGATTGTGTTCAAGCTGTTATTTATTGTTGCCATATGAGTTCTTTTTTTTACACTTTTAAATTTATTTTGTAATGTAAAATAAAAGTATTGTTTTTTTTTTCCATAAATACTGTGTGTTGACCTTTTTCTTCTTTTAATCTCATCCTCTCGGGGGAGCAAGTGTTGAGTAGTGGGGGGTTGAGAGTCGCCTAACAAATGTCACCACCTGAACTGGACTAAAAAGGCAGGAGGGCCGACGCAGRCAGACCCTGTAATTGCAGTAACATCTGTGCACTCCACGTCTTAAGCAGCCGTAAYACAAAAGCTGAAAATTTTGCATTGAGTTAGCGCCCATATGGCCACTTAACAAAGACTTTAGCATGTTAAGTTCCCCTCTAATTCATTTTCTTTCTTTCRACTTTGCAAGATATACTATCTGTATTATGTGTGGCTTGTAAACAAGTAAAACCCTCATTCACCCCCATAAAAAAGGTCAATTTAGGCATTAACTAAATCACAAAACCTAAATTATTCAGTATGCAGAGGATGCAAATAGGCAGCATTGTCTTTGAGGGATTCATGCAATAAATCACTTGTAAAGAATCTGTTGGAACAAGATAACGACACGATAAGACCTAAAAAAATAACACGTTTTGAACACATACCCACATCAATCTTTCTGTGCCTTTTTACGCTGCATGTTAAAGATTTAATCCGGGCTGAGCTGGTGACRGAGAAGTGTTCAAGTTGGAGACCAAAGGGAGCAGACAACAATAGATGTCAAGGAGAATGAAGCCATCAACTGACCTTTGTACAATACRGCTTTGGCTTTCATTCAAAGCTCCAATGGAGATACATTTCCACGCCACTGCATGCAAAAAAAGGTGAAGTGCTGTCTAAAGGTTAATGTCCGTTTTGGGGTACTGCTCTCACTGTGAAACAGGATAAAACAAAAGGCACCCTTTGGGTTGGAAATRTCCTGAATGACACTGAATTAACATAAAAACCTCGTTATCTCTTGTGCAGGCAGATATTCTTATGTGTCTTATTTTAACCTATTTACTTCATTCTTAACTGATTCTTCTTAATTCTACTGCTTTTCACAAAAATAACCAACAGTCAACATAAATACAGGAGCTGCTGAAGTCGGGGGGGACTGTGTTGGAGTTTATCGAATGTTCAGTACAGCCGTTTAATTGAAAAAAAGTTTTCTGACCTTTTTAATACAACGAGCATCATCACGATAAAATAAATAAATGCATGAATGCTGTTCCAGCTCGCACAGATGCCCACTGGACTGCATAAATTTTAAGTACCCCAGCCCCATCAGAAATTCACTCTTGGGTGCACAAGGGTTCCCTTTCATTCATTATTAAAACCTTTATTCTCGCCGTGTGATGGGGAGCTATAATATTCAGCAGCGCACATCCCCGGTCCCTCATCTGAAAGGACATTTTTAGGAGTGTTTATCTTCTATAAACTAATATTTAAAAGGCRATAACAGATAAAAGCTTGTTGTTTAATTTCCTGCAAGTTAAGGGCTGAAGTTGTTCAACTGAGCAGGAAATTGTTCCTAACTCATTACCTTTGTTCGCCCCATAGCATGTTTTTTAAACTGAGAATGAGCCTGTAAATGTAACATGGAGATAAGTTCAAAACATAACACAAAAGTAAGTTTTTTTTCCTCTCCAGATGGTTGCAACAAACTTCCGATTAAAAGAACAACAAATTGCACAGGTTSCTTTTGTGCACTGCCATGTTCTGCTAAAGGTTACGTTGTTTTAAGAGAAAAGTGAGCGGCAGGAAGGCTGTTTCCTGCATCAGGAGCTCCTGCAGCCAACAGCCTGAGAAAAGCTTTGATGACACCCCCACTGAATTCAAACCACCATCACTTGCTGTGCCAGCCCAATTCTGCAAAGGTTACTGGTTACCTGCATGCACTTAGTGCACTCAGCTAAAGGTGTGAAGGTAATTCCACTCTTCTGAAGTTAATATGGATGTAAATCGGCCCACACACAGCAGCCACTTCTTCTTGTGTTTATGTGTATCATGTCATACATGGAATGCACTAATTTCTTTTTCTTTTAAGCTGAACATAACAAAATCTCTTTGTTAATTCAAAAGTGTAATTAGTTTAATTTTTAGCATGTGAATACATGTTTGTAACAATTACACTAAAACTATAATTGTGACATCAGTTCAGAGGTCACAGCCAACTAAATCAGTGTCATATCCAAAAAAAATCTGTACATTAAATCTATCTTTATTTAGGGCTCAAAACACATTTAAACCAATGAAGAAAAACAAGACCATAAGATAATCAAAAAGTAATAAGTTCTTAAAATGTATGTGACATTTTAATACAAAAACTGGAAGAAAACTGTTAAATATTTAATACATTTGGCATAATTATACACATGATTATTGATCATTTTGTCACCTGTCATATTTTTGTTTTGAACTTGGCACAACTGAAAGTAAGTTGTAAACATTTCTTATTGATTTAGTATTAACAGGGGTGTCAAAAGTATTCACATTCATTACTTAAGTAGAAGTATAGATACTAGGGTTTAAAATACTTTTTTTGGAAGTATAAGTATCAACTCAAGCTTTTTACTCAAGTAAAAGTATGAAAGTACTGGTTTTAAAACTACTTAAAGTATAAAAGTAAAAGTAATGAACACTTAAAAAAGACAATTAAAGATAAAAGCTTAGCCTGTGCCACAGGTTATATAGCATCCCCCCCCCCCCATTTTTCTTCTGAAGTCATTAATGAGTATAATGTTCAATTAAAATGTCAATGTCGAAAATTTTTGAATTAACTGACTAGACTACTTTTTTCTGCYACGATCATCTTCATTCTAGGCTACATCTGCTCCAGTAAGTCCTGCTGGGATGTGATGTGTTTTGTGTCATACAGGTGAGATGGAGTGAGTTCAATCCAATAGGATGTCCAAATGGTATATACAGTATTTACACTTCTCATCCAACCACAGTTAAATCCACTCTATCCAAAGGCTTCATGTATCTGGATGAATTTCAATTTTTTTCTGAACAATGGACAAATGGAATAAAAATAAGTCAAAGTTAAATAGAAATGAAATACTTTTTGCATTTTAAAAAAGTAAGGAGTAGAAAGTACAGATAAGTGAATTCAAACTTAAGGAGTAGAAGTAAAAAGTACGCTGAAAAATAGTTACTCCACTAAAGTATAAATAACCAAAATTTCTACTTAAGTAAAATAACAAAGTATATGTACTTAGTTACTTGACACCTCTGTGTATTGATCACAAAAAAGAAGTCACATGCACTTTAAGCTTGATCTGAAAGATTTGTCAGGGTTTATAAAAATCAAACACTTTAGTAGTAGTAGTTGTTGTAGTTTGACACTTCCTGCTTTAAAAGACATATAACCTATTTGTAAACAGACATTTTTCATTTATTATTCATACCACACATTTTACTGAAATTTAAACTTTACTTAGATAAATAAATTGCTACCTCCTGTGGTATTTGGAAAGTTTGCAAAGTTTTCAGAATTTATTAATGGGTTTGTTTTTATTTGTCCATAATATTACGCTTCAGAAAAACCTCAACAAAAACAACAACAGGAACAGTCTTTTTGTGTGTGATGTTAGACAAGAGTCAAATATAGTTCCCCCTTCTAATTGTTTCGGGAATTGTTTACAGTATTTCTTTCTTCCCTTTTTTTTTCTTTTTTCTTTTTTTTTTTCCTCCGTCCATCTCACAAATTAACCCGCCGGAACTACAGTCTGTGATGCGTTTCCAGTCGGAATGTCAAACATCCGGTATTTCGTGCTCGGTCAAAACAGGTCCTTCCTGCCTGTTGCTGTCCATGCTGTGAACAGCTGATGCGGTGCTCCATCCTGTCAGACAGTTTTAAAATATACCTTCTTTTGATTTTTACAAGCGTGTAACTCGACATGACGAAGGAAGGAGTTCAGGGGTAAGAGCGACCCGAAGGTTGTGTTTGCAGCGACTCGAGCACCGGGACTTGTTATCGATGCTACTGCTAGCATAGCAGCTAACTGTATTACCTTAACAAGCAGCAGATTGCATCATCTGACAGCTAGCTAAGAAATTGTAAAGTTTTACTAGCTTGATTATATATATAAAAAAATGTAAGCGCTGTGTTAATGTTAAAAATTATGAAGCAACCCAAACGCAAACCTGTTTCCTTTGGAGCCACACAGTGTTGTCTGGTGCTTTAATATGAAGCAATGAATGAATGTGTCAAAACATCAAACAATCCTATAAATCACAACTCAACCATGTATTTCTATTAACTCTATGTTAAAACTAGAAATGTATTAAGAATCCTAAAATATTCCAGCCTGGGAAAAGTGTATTCGTTTCAATACTACAGGTGCTCCTTTCATTTTCAGGTGTAAAAACAAGTTAAAAAGTCATGTATTTGTCATTGGCTTCTGTTAGCTTTTACAACATGTTGTAAAACAACACACAAACACAAATAAGACATTAAAATAGCTAATCGTGTTGCAACTTCTTTGCTTTGTGTTTCAATTAAAATTAACAGATACAACCTTGTCTTATCTGGTAACATATACAAGCAACGTTTTACATTTTTTTATGTGCTCAATGATGACACTTGACTAAAATATGAGCTTGCTGTCCAAAAAGATATGAGGCTGTTTAGAAGATATTGATGTGCAGCAATCATGAGTGTCACATAAAACAGTCCACACATGACATAGTTTGAAAACTATTGCAATAAACAGGATGTCAATCATATGTCAACTAAAACCRATTAATTAATTTAGTATTAGAATGGACATTTTAATGTAAAGAGGACCTTCCTTTAGTTCGCTTTAGATGTTTGAACTTTGTTCAGAGATTGATGTAATTGTTTTATGTTCACATCTCACCTTTTTTATTGTCTTTTTATTGTATAGTGATATCAGAAATTTTAACAGTCACATCATTGTTTTGGGTTTCAGGTGATTCAACTTTATTGCTTTAGAAGCATTTTCCTTGTAGATAAAGTGTACAAAGTTAAAAATTAAAAAGCACCAAATTCAAATACATCAAGCTGCATAGAACCAAATAATTTAAAATTAACTTTCATGGTAAAAAAATTAAAAACAGCGCACATACAAGAAGTTCTGCATCACTAGAACAAATAACCTATGATTTCAGCAGATATTTAAAGAGATTAGATCGTGGGATGGTCTGAGCATCTCAAATTCTCTGAGGTAAATTGCTCCACAGATCACAGGCCACCGCTGATAAAGGTTTGTTTACCTTTAGTTTTACGTCTGGATCTGGGAACACCCAAAAGCAGCTGGTTAGTGCATCTCAGGGTGTTTGAATTTGTTGACACAACAGTGCAGGTGTTGGACATGTGTCATCTTTAAATACTCAGTTGACATGAGCAGCAACCTCAATACATTTGACTGAAGTTATTTTGTAAGGAAGTTGTTCTTGTATGCTAGTTAGATGGTGCTGCAGATATGACTGCACACACTTAAAATAAAACCTTGTTGGTTGAACATATAAATATGTCATATTTTTCTTTTTCTTTCTTTTATCATTACATAATTGTTTTGCTTTAGAGGAGTCAACTTTTGTGTTTTTATTTGTAAAAGTTTCGGCCTTGTTAAAAACATAAACGAAGAGAAGGACTGCAAATTACCGTAGTTATTGGATTGGCTTTGGGAAGTCTTTTGGGTAAAGAAACAATGTTATTGTTCTTTTACGTTATCATTACTGTCCCTGTTCAAATGAAATTGAATTAAATGCATCTTAATGGATCCTTTCAGACTCATTGTGGTGCAGGTTCACAGCACAGCCACAACATAATGCAACAAACCGCTCACTGTTTGTGAGTTTCCGGTTGTTTATGCAAATTTTTTGCCCCATCTAAATGCCAATGAATCCGAACATTTACTACCATTATCTCTACTCTTTTTTAGAAATCCACATTAAGTTTGTAGGGAAGCGTTGGCCTTCAGCAGTTGTTGGGCCGTGTTGTTAAATCAGTAGTATCAATAACACATTAGGCAGCCGGGGAGGTATAACTGTGGCTTTAAGTCCCCCCTTGGAAGTCATAATATGTTGCAGTTTTGGGCTTTTGTTTGGGCTTTATTGCTATTCATAGTTGTCCTCTGTTCCTTGTTATTTCCTGATATCTTAYGAGCTTCCTTCAGGTCGAGACTCCTGGTGTTTTGGGAAATCAAACATTGCTCATTCATCCACCTGCACTTTTAGCTCACAGTACTGTGTTAAGTTCAGATTGTTTGTAATAATATGTGCTGGTTTATTGCTGCTTTATAGAATAGAATAGAATAGAATAGAATAGAATAGAATAGAATAGAATAGAATAGAATATAATAGAATAGAATAGATCTTTATTGTCACTGTAACAAGTACAATGAAATTAGGTGTTCCCTGATGGTGTTTGAATAGAGAATAAAAAAATAAATAAAAATAAAAAAACAATTTTTACAATATCAAGATGTAAAGAAGAAACATAAAATCATAAAAACAAATATAAAATATAAATGAAACTAAGGCATCACTAGGGCTGTGTATTGGCAAGTATTTGGCAATTCAATACATATCATAACAG